ATAGATGTGGCTTTTGTTTTTGCTGTCTCCATTCTACCTTCCTTATGCTTGTGAAATTCAGTAAGATAAGATCTATAAAAGCTGGAAGGGCCAAGTTCAAGTTCTGAAAAATCTAGATGTATAGAGACCTGGTGTTCATAGGAAACTGAAAAGATGTGCATGAAAACAAATGTGTGAGCTGGCACAGGCAGGATGCAGGAACAACCACAAAGCCATGGATGAAATGCAAAGTAAATTTATTCTTGTTAGCGTGTGCCCTGAGGGATCTCCACAGCAGCACCTGGGCAGAGTGGGGACACAGGCACTGCAGAGCTCAGTCCTTGCTCACCAGAAAGAGGAGAAGAGAGAAAAGATCTCAAGCATGCTGCTTTTGCCTATATATATCAGGGATTTTTGCAGGCATAGTTTTCCACTGTGCTGTGATCTTTCCCACAGCAGGGCAGGGATCTCAAGGATGTTTGATAGGGTGCCTCTGAGTCTCTCTCAAGCCTGTGTTATCTAAGTGCAGATGTTCTACCTGTCAAGCATACAAAGCTAAACAACAATTAGTATGATATACATGTTTTTTGACACCCCAGCTACAAGTCATGTGAGTGTGTTTATAATCCTCCTCGCCAATTTTCTGTTGTATTTCTACAAGTAAATGTTAACATCTTGATGTCCCCCAGCTCAAAATTGGGAAGTAATGAAAGTAAGTTACCTCTTCAATGTTAGCAGCTAAATGTCAGAGCAGTATCAACCAATGCATTCTGACAGGAAGGGGAAAGAAAAAAACATGAAGTATGACTGAGGAAGAGGAGATGGCAGTTCAAAAACCTAATATCAGATGGAGCAATCAGAGTGGATCCAGGCACACTGCACCAATTTGAAATTTGGTTGGTTCTGCTCTTGACAGCTTTAAAACCAAAACCCATGGGAGTGGTGAGGTGGTATGGGTGCTGAAAATGTGTAAGGATTTGTAGTGACTGGGCAAACAGCCGTAGGAAGAATTTGCTGAAGGCCATCAGCGTAGACATACTCAATTCAGAAGGTTTCTGAACAGAAAACTGTTGGAGCTTGGGTTAATAAATTGAGGAAACATTACTATGTACTTTCCTTATTCTTTTTACCATTTTCTTCTTTATCTGCTACAGAATACCAAATACTTATATAGATAGATCTCTGGGCAGACTTGGAATGACTACTTAAATGTCTTTATGCTTACTTTGAATAGTGGCACCTTAACCAAGCTTGAGACACTATTTAGAGTCCTCTTCTGAGGATACCAGTGTTTTCTTCCAGGGGTTATCTATAAAGCTGTGTGTATTTCAACATACAGCTTTATAGATAATGGTTTCCAGACCATCTCATCCTGTATTGTGCAGGAACACATAGAATGGGAGGTCAGTTCCTTACCACATATGCAAAAAGTGGCACTTCTTCCAGTTAAACTATGTTCCCCTTGTAATGTGGTTTTTTTGGTTGGGTTTTTTTTTTTATATATACTGCCTTTGTTTCTATGACAACTGTTTTTCGATAGGTATTGGTCTGGGACATTCCTATGCCTCTGCAGTCTGCGTCCTTGGGTTGCTATCTGGGTGTTTGAAAGAATCCATCCCACTGTCTTCTACAAAAGTTCACTTTGCCTTTTTGTGTTGTACAACATTTGTACCACCCTGCTCTATCAACATGATGGCTATTGGTTCATTCAGCCTTCCCACAGCTGTGAAGATGTTTTGTCGAGACTTTGTTTGTCAGATGATGGTGGTGTTGCAGAAGATCACGTCTGCTTTTATTAAATTACCAGGATACTGTTGTGCATAGTTGGTCTCTTGCTAAATTACCAGAAATCTTGGCTAAAGCCATAACAGGCCCTCTAAATTAACAAGTTTAGGTTAAAACCCATTTGTAGGGTCAATACTGATCTCACTTGAGTTTTTTAGTAAATGAGATGATTAAAACACAGGTGTCAATTGAAAAGTGTGAAGGAGGTCTGCTGAACTCCTTTCCCATTTTTGAGACCTTATGTGTAGGTGATGACTGACTGCTGCACAACTGTTGACAGCGTGGTGGTGTAATATCCAGTCTCTCTGCTAAGAAGCACTTGAAGTACCAGTTGCAAAGTCCAAACATCAGATTCACTTTTTAATATATCATCAGGAATGCTGGACATGCTGGCAGATAATATCAGCTCTTTCAGATCTTCTAGCTGCTGACTACAAAAACTGGCTTGATATCCTTTCAGTTCCTCTGGCTCCCAAGTACCTCATGATCTTAAAGCTCAAAGCTCCATGAAGGAGTTTTGTGTTTTCTCTTCTCGGACAGCAATAGCCCAGTCACTGCTAGATATCCTGGATTAGGACATAGCCTGCCTGCTTCTTTCTCTACTACACTACCCCTTGGGTCTTTTTGGCAGATAAAACAAGGATGTGCACTAGTGTCTCTTCTAGCCCATCTATTTGGGAACATCTTAATCCTTCTCAAGGTCAAGAAAATTCCCCTTTCCATTGTTCATACAGAGCAGAGCACACCTGTTCTCTGCACCTTGTGGTCTGACTACTAGGACAAGCCTACAGACTGACTTAATGCTATTTGTGTTGTTTGATATGGAACCATTTTATCAGATGTATCTACTAGTCTTTTTTTCTGATGTAGTGGATCATCCCACCTGTTGCAGGTTCTGGGACAGAGCACACAGAAGGTACAGGATACCTGAATGCTGGTGTTTTCGTTATCACTGAGCTGTGCTTACACAGAGCCAAGGCCTTTCCTGCTCCTCACCCCACCCCACCAGTGAGCAGGCTGGGGGTGCACAAGGAGCTGGGAGAGAACACAACCAGGACTGACCCTGACTGACACAAGGGATGTCCCAGACCATATGGTGTCATGCTCAGCGTATAGAGCTGGAGGAGAAGGAGGAAGAGGGGGACGTTCAGAGTGATGACATTTGTCTTTGAGTCACTGTTACATGTGATGGAGCCCGGCTCTCCTGGGGATGGCCGAGCACCTGCCTGCTCATGGGAAGTGGTAAATGAATTCCTTGTTTTGCTTAGCTTGCGTGTGCAGCTTTTGCTTTACCTACTAAACTGTCTTTATCTCAACCCACGAGTTTTCTCACTTCTCCGATTCTCTCCCCGATCCCACTGCGGGGGAGTGAGCAAACGGCTGTTTGGGGCTTAGTTGCTGGCTGGGGTTAAACCACAACAGTCCTTTTCTGTCCCATTGTGGAGGTCAAAGGGTTTGAGATAACACAGGTTTGATTGGAATGTGCTAGATCAAATTTATAGCTGTTATTGCTGTTCAGCTATAGCAATAGTAAGCTGTTTATAGTATTAGATCTTCAGATTTATATTTTTTTTTCTTACCTTGTCCTTTCAGTATCCCTGTAGTGATTTCAAAAGGCTTTGAAGACAGATTGGTAACAATCCTAATGATAGATCAGTAACAATCCTAATGAAGAGTGTTTAGTGTAAAAGGGCCAGTACCAACTGAACAAATCTGTGAGGATGGCGTTTGGGTCTTTTAAGCAACTCGCATTTCATGAGGCATCTGAGTGGCAGTGAAGACAGCTGCAGGTGTCAGAAAACAGTTAAAAATGGCATGTGTGGAGAAGTGTGTGACTTGGGCTTTGCTTGCCCAGTCCACTTGCACATATTAGATGTTCTAACACTGTCTTTAATTCAGTGTCCTGTAAGAACTAAAATGTGTATATGCTAAATATTAGAACAGCTGTGTTCAAAAATAGACTGTTTCTACCCCCCCAACGTTGAACTTGATTTTCTTCTGATGTGATCACAAGACTGCTGCTGCAGTAGGGGCTTAATGCTATTTACGTCGTCATTTGACATAGCAACATCTCTCAGGGGATTTTTAAACAATGCAGCTGTTCAGGAGAGATGAAGAGGCTGAGGGTGGGGAGAGGGGAAAAGGAGGAGAAATAATTTCATCTGCCATTAGGGATATTGAGGAGGGGGGAGGGGAGGCAGCCAGCAAACCAGCGAGTTCAGTAGATTCATGATTCTGCATGAATGGACAGCAGGATCATGGGAGTCGCGGCTTCCCCTTGAATGGGCAGGAGCATCATGGGAATCTGGCTGCTTCTAATCTTTTTGTGAATGATTCTTTTCCTTTAACATGGCACTGCTTTTATGAATGGCTCTGGGGGCAAAGTGCTGCAAAATCCTTCTCAAGCTGTATAGAGGTGCCTTAAGGAACGAGGGTGGGAGTCAGGTGCAGCAAAACAGAGATGCTGCGATGTTAAGCGGCTATTCTGCTCTCTTGAAGTCTGAGAGGACGTTGTACTGATTTTAATTCAGCGTAATTAATTTAGCTTGATGGAAGCAGAATTACTTTTTACATGAAGTATTTTTAAGACTTGCTTTCTTCCATTTGAAAATGCAGTTGGCTGTGCGTATTTCCCTGTTCTGTTAAGGATGGAGATGACAGCATATCAGAATGGTTTTGGAATGATTAAACTTGAAGTTCTGCTCTTTCTTGTTCACCCACCTGTTCCCTTTTTGATTTATGTTCAAAATGCTAAATATTCAGAAGCTTTTATGGCACCAGAAGTAAAATTGGAAATGGAGGACAATAAACAATTGTTTTGCTTGGTCTGAAGCAACTCATTTACCATTTGTCTTAAGTTGGAAAAAAGTGTTCTGGTCAAGTTGCACTTGAACACGGTTTTGTATGTGCTTTTTCCAATTTCTGCATTTTTTTTGATTCTGTACAAAGCTGTATAATTTGTTTCTTTGCCATCTTCATTGTCCCTTACCACAAAATGTGCTGAATCACTTGAGAATTTGTTCTCACCAGAAGTAGCTTAATGTCACAAACTTCTGTGCAGGTTACGTTAAAAGTTCAAAGATTCCTATTGCAGAGATGAAAATGTTCATGTGTAATATTAGCTACCTAAAACAATGTTTTGTAAAACCATAATAACTGATATGTTCTTAATACCTGAATGGTAATTCAACAATTTCAACCTTAAACTTTTTTAAACTTTTTTATTTTTTTTCTAGACGATAAGTACAAAGTGGAAACAAAAGTCATTGTGGCAGACTTTGGAGAGAGAGAAGATATTTACAGTAGAATCAAAGCAGGATTGGAAGGCCTGGAGATCGGTGTTCTAGGTTTGTATCTGATCTTTCTAAATCTTTCACAGTGGTGTTTCATCACGTGCCTACTAACGTTTTCCCATGTTGAAGTTTATTGAAACCAATTCACAAAAGCTAATATTTGCCTGACTAAAACTATGTTGCTGCATGTTCAATGTGTTTTTTAGCTTCCTGTTGATACACTACATGAGATGGTGCTTGCATGTATGCCGGTGTTCTAGGAACTGTGATGTTCATTGAATATTTTCGATGTGTTATTCCACGATTGCTAAAGACTGTGTATCTTATGACTGCATGCACTTGACCTAATACCATTTTAGAAACTAGGCAAGCTCCAGATACTTAGGACTCAGCTTAGCAGTAGAGCCCCACGGGAGAACCATTAACTTTTAATTATAGAGCTGTTGAAATTTAATCATTACAATGTAGCATCAAGTAACTGGCTCCCACTTCAAAAGTTTTAAGCGTGTTCTGGTGATGTTAGTAAGCTGTGGTTCTTTTGTAACTACACAATATGCCCGAGTATGGTCTGTGAAACTGTGGGAATGTAGGTGGTGTGATAGTCCTTGAGAAGACAAGGTGATCCATCCAGTTACTTTGTCGAGTGTAGAACTGAGGTGATTTCAAGAAGGTGTTGAGTGCAAGCTAAGAAGAATTTAAACATAACAGCAGTTTACCTGGACCTTTTCTGAACAGTGGGGTAAAGGCAGTTGCTTATCAGTTTTTTGGTTCTTCCCTTATATGCACAGGTATGTGCACTTCTCCTATATTTCTACAGTTACTTAATATAAGGATAAGAACCTCTGATGGTTAAACACAAGACATAGAATTTTATAAAGTCGCATGGCTCGGACATCTACTGGTGTATGTCATCCGATAAAGTATTTGTCACTACCAAATTCATTTTGCTAACCTGAAGTGCAGTAATTGGAGCTAGAATTGTTTTTTTAAAAAACATGTTTCAAAATAAATGTTACACACATGATATGTGTATTCACTATATGAACTTTGCCGATGAATCTTGTTGTACAATGTCTGCAAATAATGCCCAAAAAAATAGTGTATATAAAATCTCAATAAAAAAAAATTAAAGGATAAAGCCCCAAATGTTCCCTAATACTTCTGGCAGATTCGAGTACATACAGCTCATGACATCCAATATTTAATTGCAATAAAATTTCAAATCCATTGGAGTAACTGCAACTGCCAACAACATTTTTTGTAAAGAGTAGTTGTGACAAAGCCCTGGATGCCTTGTTTCTTGTTTTTGAAGGAAATAAGTTCCAAAGAAACTTTGAAGATTAAAATTAACGTCTGTTCTCATCTGTCCTGTCAAAATCAACTCGGGGAATGTAGGCTTGCAAGCTGCTTGTCACGTAGCAATTGCTGCAGGATAGTGTATCACTTAAATGTCTTAGAACCCCAGCAAACCTTTTACTGTGTGAGGTACATATCCACACTGTGGGAGGGTTTTTTATTATTTCTTAGGCTGTGATAAGGTTATGGTGATGCACAAAATCATGAAAAATCTGACTCTTTAGTCTTGCTTCAAGTGGGCACTAAAGCAGTGAATGTGTCTCAAATTTTGTCTAAGCTTATTACAGGAAAACAAGCTCATTCCTCAGACAGAACCTGGTTCTTGCTTTTATTTGCGTGAGCACCTTGACTAAAACCATGGTAAAAATAGCAACTTAATGCTCTAGAGTTGTGTATTCTTTAGCCGAGATCCTTCGCTTTTTTTTCTTGCAGCCATTGCCAGTGCAGGTTTACAGATATCTCTCGTCTAACTAATCACTAGCAGTTTTAGTAGATCTCATGCTTGAGATCATCAGATTACGTGATACGCAGGTTTCTTCTTTTGCCCAGATATAGCTGTATTAATAGAAAGCACTTGCCAGTGTAATTTTTCAACAGAGATGATGGCCACTCCAGAAAGACGGTATCTTAATTTTTTTAATGGCAATTAATTTTATGCTTCAGTGCATTATATTTTGAATTCAGTAGCGTTTGTGCAATTGGGAATATAGTTTTTGCTGACGTTTTTCATGTCTATGTGAGGGGAAACATGGGTTTAAATGAGAATAGCCATAAGGGATGAGTTTTCAAGTTCCAGAATATTTTCTTCTTTCAGGTCTCATCTGGAACAGTAGGTATGAGAAGTGTTGGTAGCACAACATAGTTGCCAGTGATCAATGCTGATTAACCTTATAATTGGAAACAAAGGAGTCTCCATGTATGTTGCTTAAGATCGAGCTTCTGATTATATAGTTGCACAGAATCTAACTAAAGTACTTACAGATTGAGATCCTTGTAAACTTCTTATTTGGAAGCTTCTTCTCACCCACGTACGAAGGCTAAAAGAGTTTGCATAATGTTTTGCTGTGTGTTCAAAACAGCGTCTGTCAGTGACTTCGAACATGTGCTAGCTACAGCAATATGTTAAACAAGCAGAGGTGGGAAATCTTCCTTTTGCTGTTTTTAAATCACTGTGAATCTTGAAAGAGTTTGAGCTGGACAGTGTCTTACCCAGTTGTTATCCAGATTTCTCTAGGTAAAATATGCATGTGCAAACTGAAAACTAATTTTTAATGTTCTGTTCCAAACAGCAACAAAGTATGATCTGGTAGAAAAAGATTGCTAAAAGTGGAAGGGTACATATCCGGGACCCAGTCTGCAGTAAGGGGTGTGAATTTTGTGTGACTGTTTCTGTAGCATGAATCACATAAACATTCTAAATTTGGAGAGAATAACTAAGGTTAGTCCCAAAACCCTGCAACAGTTCATAGCCAAAAATCCTTTCCAGAGAGATGAACTGAAAAATAGTTTATTTTAGGATGAAAGGAAGGAAAAAATCTGGCTCGCTCTGGCAATAGCAAGATTGGACCTTCTTCCTTTTTAAAACTTTTCTCTCTTTCTAAATATAGCAAATGTCTGCTGGGAATTTGCCAATTCCCTGTTCCCTTTGGTTCCTGTATTTTTTAAAGGTTATCTAAAAGTTAAAAATTTGAAACACACAAACATGACTAATGAACTATAAGGGTTTCCATAAATACACAAAGCTCTGGACTAAAAGAGCTATTATTCAAGGGAATCTCTGAATGAAGTTCGTGCGCTTTGCCAGAATCTCTCCTGCCCCTTCCCTGCCATCTCCTGCATCCCTATTGCTACTTAATATCTTTCAGGTTGGATGCTAAAATGATGACTTTTGGCACTGGTGTAGGGGCTATTTCGGGGTGGGTGTTTTGTGTCGGTTGTTTTTTTGGTTTTTGTTTTGTGTTTTTTTGTTTTTTTTAAAGGCATCAGTACCTTTTGATGGTGTTTCTTACCCCCCTCCCGTGTAGACCCCTTCCCCAGAGGTGTGCAGTGCAGTTGAGCATCCACAGCACTTCGGGATTCTCTGGGGTGTAAGGCACTATATAAATGTAAAATGTTGCCACAGCAACCAAATGTCACACGATTCACTTGCGTAAGATGAACAACAGATACTTAGGAAATGGAGATCCCATTTTGCTTGCCTTTTTTTTTTTTTTTTTTTTTTTTTTTTTTTTT